TGGTTACAAATATCGAGGAGTCATTTCTCTCCCACAGGCTAGCTGCTTTGTTGTCTCTTTCTTAGGCAGAGCTTGTTGTTTATTCTGGCACTGTATGTGAAGTCCTTGCATCATCAGACTTATGTGAGCATCTTACCACAGGCTTCCCATTTTGGTGAGCTTTAGACTTTGTCTCTTTCTCCCTTGTCCCGCAGGCCCTTAAAATGCAAGCTCACATCATCTGGGCTTCTCAGATGTTCTCAGGGCAAAAGCCTGTATCGCTACTCACTTATGCTTCTGAATTACCTCTCACTTTGATTTTGGGTTCCCTAACATCCTGCCAGATCAATGGCACATTTAACAATGCATTTCCCATATTCCATCCGGCAATCGTAGTTGTTTGAAGGATAGCTCAGGGTATGTAGTCTGCCTGGAAACGGTAGTCTTGTTCCTCATAAAGAACAATGAACTTTTAATATGTGGGCATAATTACATCTTGAAAAGATCCCTAATGAGCAAATGAGTTATTAATATCATTCATTCAGGAAAATTTACATTCAAGTACTAATGAGTACTGGCCACTATATACATTTTTCATTTTTATAAAGGCCACTGTATATTTTTAAATCAAAATTTCACTTATAATGGTTAATTTGCAATTCATATTCTAGTTCTCATAGAAACAATGTTGTTTACATATGCTTCATCTCGTTTACATCTAGAATGAGCTACTCTACATATGTACGTTTTCCTGCTAAATGACATTTACCTCTTGAAATTGTCAAAACTTGTTTTAAGCACTTCAGATGGACTGTTTTCCAAAATGTGTAAGTCATGTTATGCATTTCTTAGGCTTCATAAATTGAGTAGCACGGGCATCAGTTGACTCTTCCTTCATTAGTCAATCATTATTACTAAAAGCAGTGTGGTCCAATGGAAGGATTTGGACTTCAACATCAGACAGATCTGGAGACACATCTTGGTTCTACTTCTTACTAAGAGTGTGATCTTAGGCAAGTCACAATCAGTGATGTGGCGAAGCCAGCTTGTACTGGCTCACCAGTGCCTACTGGTAAGTTTTCAGCAATTTTATGAGCTGATTCTTAAACACAGCCAGCATTAAAAATTCAATTACATAAACTTATAAGTAAATAATTTATATTAAAAAGGGGTAGTAAATACTCAAAATCCTTACCTCCTCAATAATTTACTATGTTTATTATTAGCTATGCCCTTGAAGCTGTTTAGATTTCTTGTATCTGTGTAGAAGAAATTCTATACAATGATGTGCCACTGCTCATCTTTTTGCAACTCTGCCTTCAGTGCTGTCACATTGGTTGCTTGAAATTGGTCATGTGTAAGTATTTATACCACAGATATTGGCAAGTGCTACAAGTCAATATTTGATGTATTGTTTTGTTGGTTGTCTGGACCTAAGAAAGTTATAGAAAAAAATATTAATAATACAGAGTAAATGATTGTGTGTCATCTGTAACTGTTACATTGTGAGTAGGACAAAAAATTCAAGGAAATACTCTTCCGCTGTTTGAAAACTATTATCCAGTTCAGCAAAGAAGCTGCTCATGTCACTAATGAACAAGTGAAATTCTGGTACATCTTTGTTATTTTCCTTTCATTGTGCTTGTTAATTTAAGCAAAGATATCAGTCAACAGTCATGTGAGGACTACTCACATTTGTCAGATTGTATGTTGCAGTTTGGCTCCCAATATAAGAGTTTGGCAAAAATCTAAACAAGCATAGTATGAGAATCAATTGGCTATAAGGAATTTACAGTAAAGAGCATTGCATATTATTGCTTGGAGATGGTGTATTACACATCCTTTATCTCAATAAAATTTATAATAAACATATATACATACAGGTACATACATTTTTAACATATAGCCACTTGTTAATATTTACCAATACACTATGCCTACTCTCTGAGATTAAGCTTCTTCATTTATTGTAAATCTGTTAACCCAAACTACAAGCACCATGCTTGACCAAGATTGCATTTTAATATTCATACCTATTTCATTCTAAGATTGAATACCAGTATTCTTTTTCTTCCTCCCTCTAAACCCTATATACAGACATAACTTGAGAGCCATTGGGATGTATAAAACTTTTTGCCTCTATTTGGCATGGCTCCAGAGTACAATTTATTTATTTATTTATTTATTTATTTATTTATTATTTATTTATTTATTTATTTATTTATTTTTGAGGTACACGGGCCTCTCACTGCTGTGGCCTCCCACTGCTGTGGGCGCTTCCGTTGCAGAGCACAGGCTCCAGACGCGCAGGCTCAGCGGCCATGGCCCACGGGCCCAGCCGCTCCGTGGCATGTGGTATCCTCCCTGACCAGGGCACGAACCCGTGTCCCCTGCATCGGCAAACGGACTCTCAACCACTGCGCCACCAGGGAAGCCCCCAGAGTGCAATTTTTAATATTCATGATTTTTTTGTATAGATCTTTAGTACCCTACCTTGATATCAACTGTCGTTTTTGCTTTTGTCAGAGCTCCTTCTTTTAGCAGCCTCTCCTGTCTCCTCATGATTCTCTCCCATAAATTATAGCCCAGGTTGTCTTTTTGTTGGTCTGGAGACTACATCTAATCCTATTAGAATTGTGCAAAAAATATGAGTAAGTAAATGCTAAATGAGGATCTAAAAAACTTTTCTATAATTGCTTTAGTCTGTTTACTCTAGCTGTGACCTCCTTTCTTACATGAAAGTCATTACGAACTATTTTAGGTATATAAAAAGGATTGTGGATAATGTAATCAACAGCTTCTCATATACCTGTTAGCCAGCTTAAGGAGTGAAACATAAGAGATGCAAAGGGCCCTCAGGCTCCTCCTTGTTTCCGTTTCCCTCCATTTTCTACCCAAAGGCAGCCACCAGCCTGAATTGATCATCCCCAGGCATGCTGTTGTATGTTTACCTCATATGTATATGTTCAGAAAATCCATGATTTGTTTTACATATTTTGCATAAAACATGATAAAAGTACTGTATATATTCTTTTTAAAATTAATAACCTTTATATTTTAGAGCAATTTTAGATTTATAGAAAAATTGAGCAGAAAGTACAGAGTTCTCATATATCGCATTCCTCCAATTTCCCCTACTGTTAACATATAGCATTAGTGTGGGACGTTGGTTACAAATGATGGGCGAATATTGATACATTATTATTAAAGTTCATAGTTTATGGGTTTTGACAAATATATAATGTCATGTATCCACTATTACAGTATCATACAGAATACAGTCCACCCATGAACAAGTCAGGGTTAGGGGAGCAGACCCACAGCACAGTGGAAAATCCATATACAGTTTTAATAGTTTCACTTCCTTAAAAATCTCCTGTGCTCCATGTATTCATTCCTGTATACATTCTTTTGAATCTTGATTTGTTGTTGTTGTTTAATATTATAGTTTCGAGGATGTCTTAGTCCATTTGGACTGATCTAACAAAATACCATAAACTAAGGGGTTTATAAGCAACAAACATTTATTCTTCACAGTTCTGGATGCTGGATATTGGGGATTAGGGTGCCAGCATGGCCAGGTGAGGTCCCTCTTCCACATTACAGACTTCTTGTATGCTCACGGGGCCAAAGGAGCTAGGGAACATGGTGGGGTCTCCTTTTAGGAGCACTAATCTCATTCAGGAGGGCTCCACTCTCATGACTTAAGCACCTCCCAAAGGCCGCTCTTCCTAATACCATCACATTGGGTGTTAGGATTTCAGCCTCTGGATTTTTTGAGGGGAAGACATTCAGACCAGAGCAGAGGGATATCTATGCTCTGATTCATTCACTTTAACAGCTGATTAGTGTTTCCTCTCTATGGATATACCCAAAATTAATGATCTGTTCTACTGTTGATAGGAAATAGGTTGTTTCCAGGATTTTGTTATTATAGAAAACTCTGCCTCAATAATCTCATATAATCTCTTTGTGAAAATACATGAGCGTTCCTCTAACGTATGCCCTTAGAAGTAGAATTAGGGAGTCATGAGATTTTTAACATTACCCCTTTATACCATAAAATGGATTCTAACTACGATTTTAAACAAAATTTCTATGTGAACAGGGATTTCAAATCTAATGTAATTTTTTACCTTCTGTCCCTTTAATGTGTGATACTCTCTCTTACCTCTGGGCTTATTCTGACCCTGGCTCCTCTTTTTAAAAATTTTCCCCCCACTCCCACCTCTGAGAAATTCACCTTGATGAGTCAACATTTCCTTTAGATTTCAGCCTAGAAGCCATTTCTCTAAGAGACTTTGGACTCCTGCCCACATCTGGATAAACGCCCCTCCCTGGCTTTCATGCAACGGTCCTTACATTAGCTGTTTTATAATTGCGTGTAAGTTCTCCAAGGACCCGAAGCGCAGCAGAGTTCACCATGATAGCCACTGTGCTTAGCATAGAGCCTGACACATTGCATTTGCTGAATTAAGGGAGGTATGAAGGAATGAATGTAGGATACCAATATCACCCCAACAATGGCAAAAACTAACCTCCTCTCCACAATAGTTGACTAGACCATCTCAGGCTCCATGGTCAGATGACAGGAAGATAGGGTTCAGGTGTCAAGGGTCAAAGATAAGGTCCCGAGACTGCTTTGTGCACAACAAGGACAAGGCATGTCAGTCATGGCCAGGAGAAATGTTCACAAGGAGGAGATGTTTTCAATTCAGACACTCATAAGCTGAGCCCTGCCTCTGTATACCAGCTGGGAGATCTTCAGATAATGAACCGTGAAAGACTGCTATGCCACGGCATTATGCAACAATTTTTCATTTGCCACCAGTCAGCTTCAGGGATCAAGGACAGCTGAACACATAACCCACTCATGCATGTTATTTTAAAGGAATATTTTAAAGTTATCAATATGATACATTGAGTTAATGAGGGATGTTCTTTGGGTGACAAATATTTACATTCCACATATGCCTCTTGATGTCAAGAGTGTAACTGTTTCATTTTCTTCTTTTTCTCAGGAGGCTGGGATACAGATGGAAAAGGCCCTTGTGTCTGGGACACATTCACCCATCAGGGAAGAGACAGACTTTTCAAGAACCAGACTGGTGATGTAGCTTGTGGCAGCTACACTCTGTGGGAGGAAGATTTGAAATGTATCAAACAGCTTGGATTGACTCATTACTGCTTCTCTCTTTCCTGGTCACGTCTGTTACCTGATGGGACGACAGGTTTCATCAACCAGAAAGGCAAGTGTTTCTTAAAAATAGAAGGTTGCAGCTTTAATTCAAGGTTATTGCTACAGCCTGGCATAATTAATCCAGGATGCTATTCTGCAGTGTTGCTTTGAGATTGCAAGTTTTTAGAGTGATTATAGGATAAATTTTTTGAAATAGGTTTGCATTAGCTTTCTCAGGACTATTATGGCTTCCCTCAACTGGAGATCTTTGTTGGGAGGGGTGGAAATAGATGGGCAGGAAGGGGGTTGGAATAAGTGTTTTATTTATGCAAGAGGTTATTTGACTGTTGACCTGAAGGTGAATTTCCAAAAGTTGTATATAAATGATGTTCAGTTGTGTTATGCTGTGATGAGTCGTGAAGAGCCCTGCGGAACTTGAGAAGATTCTGAGCATTTCAATTGAAGCTGAATTAGTGGAGCTAATTAACTAACACAGAGGTTAGCACCAGAGCCCCTGGAATCTGTTTACTTGGGATTAAGTGCCAGCGACGTCACACTATCTATGTAAGCATCTCCTGGGCATGGCTTGGTGCCTCAGTTTCCCCATGAGTAGAAAGGGATACTGTAATAGCTCCTACTTCAGAGTGTTGTTGGAAGATTAAATGAAATAATCTTTTAAAGTTCTTTACACAGTAGTAGCTGGTATAGGGTAAAAGCATTCAGTAAGTGTTAGTTATTATTCATATTATGCCTTGTAATGAAAAAGACTACCGTCCTATTTGAAAGCCTATTATTTATAAGGCATTTTACATACATTTTCTCTAAACCCCACAAATCAATGAGGAAGATATAAGTATCACATTTTACAGAGGTGCATGTTCAAATCCAGATATTTTGTAAATTTGTATTTTTTGGTGGATCTGGAATTTAAGCCTAAGGTCTGGCTAGCTCCTTCCACACAACAGGGTTGGCAGACTATGACCTGAGGCCAAACTTGGCCTGATTCCTATTTTTTTTAAATAAAGTTTTATTGCAGTACAACCGTGCCCATTCATTACGTATAGTTGGTTGCTTTCCCAATGTAATGGTAGAATTGAATAGTTGGGGCAAAGACCGTACAGCATGCAAAGCTTGAAATGTTTACTATGTGGTCCTTTATAGGAAAAGCTTTGTAACCCCTGCCTCACAATTTAAAGACTTCTTAATAAAGAACCGTTATGGCTCCTTTGTTCTGGAAAAGATTTCACATTACTCCCAGGGTTGGGACTAGGTGAGGCAAGGAGAGACCTAATGTGGAAAATTTGAGAGGCATGTACTTTCAGCATCTCACAACCGCAAGGTTGTGCATGAAGTCACCTGCTTGCCTTGCTACACCTCCAGCCCAAAGGGCTGGCATAGATATTGAGGGGTTCTTTTTTTTTTTTTTTTTGCGGTACGCGGGCCTCTCACTGCTGTGGCCTCTCCCGTTGCGGAGCACAAGCTCCGGATGCGCAGGCTCAGTGGCCATGGCTCACGGGCCTAGCCGCTTCGCGGCACGTGGGCTCTTCCCGGACCGGGGCACGAACCCGCGTCCCCTGCATCGGCAGGCGGACTCTCAACCACTGCGCCACCAGGGAAGCCCGAGGGGTTCTTTTTGAGTAAGTTATCTGATTTCCTACTTAGTAAGAACAACCTGTGATAACAGTTCCTAGGTGGACTTGTGCACTTGCACTGTAAGGTGGAGAAATCTCTGCATTGTGAAATGGAACCACAATTTATGCACTCACCCATAGCACATGGCCTTAAAGTAGCCTCCTCCAGATAAGCACAATGCAAGATTAGCAGGTTCATTACTTGATTCTAAAGACATTAGCCTCTTTTTTTAACCACTCTTGGTTGAAGGTCTACTTTCTTGGCATCACCTGCCAGTTTTATTTTTTGACTTTGAACTGTCGGTAATTTGTTATTCAGTTTAAAAGTTAACTCATAATTTCCCACCATTCTAATCCATCATCTGTACCCTGTCTTTTCTCTGGCACCATCATAACCCTCAAGGATTAAAAACTAAGAGTAATCTCTGAATCTTCTCGTTTCTTTGCTTCTTACATCTAATTGGTTGCCAAATATGATCCATTCTTCTTATGCCTTTTTAACTTCTCCCCTTCTAGCCTTCTTCTCTGTCCCTGCCCTGGTTTAGATGTTTTTGATATACCCTTGACAGTTATACCTACTTTCACTCTCTTTCTTTGTCCTTTAATCCTTCATACAAAATGCCACCACGGCAATTTTCTGAAAGCTTGGCCCAGGTCATGGTGGCTTGCATCATCTCCTGCTAAAGCAAAGGAAGATTAAAAAGTTCTTTTTTGTCATTTAAACTCCTTCATATATCATTCCAGTTTTTGACTTAGTCTTAACTCACCTCCGAAGCATTCTAGGCTGAATCACCCATGCACGTGGTCCATGCAATTCCTCCATGCAAGGCCCTAAGCACATAACCCATTACTTACTAAACATGCTATGCAGTTTTCCACCTTTGTAGAAATTTTCTTAAGCTCTTTCTCCTGCCTGGATTGGCCTTTTACAAAAACTCCCAACTATACCTGCTGAATGTTTATTCTACTGTTAAGGGCTAGCACAAATGTTTCCTCTTCTTTAGAGTCTTTCCCT